TCAGACTTTCGACGGTGGAGTGCGCCGACCTAATCCCCCTCAAAAACCACCCCACCTAGCAAAAGGCATCACCCACCAGATGGAGGGGGGCAAAGCTTGAGAAACACTGACATGCATTGTCCTAATTTCATGATGCCGCCTGTTCTATCAACACAGAAAGATCATTCACCTTGCCGGTTTTGCATAAACTTCATCAACTGCAGGGCAAACATTTTGCTTTTAAGGGTGCCGGTAGGCTGCAACGCTCTGCACCCTGACCCTGACGTGCATACGTGTGTGTGTGTGTTTACGGTATTCAATGTGCACTGTTATCTTTTCCAGCCAGAGCCCCCCCTCGAGGAACACCACAGCCTTCCAAGGCTGGGGAGGCTGTGAATTCTGACAGCTGTACTCCCCGTCTGGGGGAAAAGTTAGCACACTGGTTTAAGCTCAATATGGCTAAATATCCAAACACTTTTTTTTTGGATAAACCTTATCGTAGCACGGAAAAGAATGTCGATGCTGCAGATCCGAAAGAAAGAGTGAGATGAGGAGGTAGAAATTTACCTAAGCGTCTTTTCCTTTTGCTGAGTTGGTCCTCTTCACTCATCCGTGAAAAAATAAGTGAAAGAAGAATAAGAAAGGATAAGAAACCATATCAGTGGTTGAATCCTCTGCCACCTCTCTCCAGAATCCCATTCACTCCCTGATTGCCGTCCAAGGCAGCAGCAGGGTGTGTGTGTGCACGCGTGTGCACGCGTGTGCACGCGTGTGTGCTTGTATGTCAAAATTGGCCCACTGGTGGCTATAACACAAGCCCTACCCCTTTTGTATATGTATCCGTTGTCTTCCACACCTGTTTAAAACAGGCCAGGCGTGCATCGTGACATTTGTCCACCACCTTGCAGATTTTGATGCGAGCCATAGATGCTGTGGCCGAAGGAGTTGAAAATGTTCCTGGATGCAAAATGGGGAACAACTCCTTTAACACCAGCAAAACTATGAATGACTTAAATCTGTCATGCTCCTGGGCTGAGAAGGAGATGACGGCAACGTTGTGGGGACAAGGCAGGAAAAAAAGTTGGGGTTGTTGGGGGCTGAGAAGGCTACTTAAAACATTTATTGCGGAAAGTTGATTGGGACACCAGTCAATCACACCCATCCATTCCCACACAGCACCCAACCTATTCCCTCCACTACCCTTTCTCCCTCCACTCTCTGACCCCCACAAGGGGGCAGTTTCTGAGCTTCTGGCCCTATAAGGGGAATGCTAGTCTGGCTGCTTTGCAGCTCTCCCCTGTATGCTGGAGAAAATAAATGGGGGTGAAAATGAAAAGATTTTTGTCAGTTTTCCTTAGAGTATTTCATTCTTTTCTTTCTGGAGTGCTGTGAGTGGATTTTTGTGGCTGTAGATCCTGCATCAGCGTGGGGTGAGATATTTTACTCCTTGTTTCCAGCATTTCAATCATGGATTGCATTCAACGTGCTTCTGAGGATTTGGGAACTAAAAACAGTGGTAGTGTGGAAGTGTCTTGAGTTTATCAGTAGCAGGAAATGCTCTGTACATTCCCCAGCCAGCATTGCACTAGACAGTTTGTAATTCCCAACAGGCCAGAACAAAGTTCGCTCACCCCTCAAATGTTTCCAAGCCCCAGGTGATCCCCAGGAAAATTCCAAAAAGCAGAATGGGCTTCATGGTTGAAAGGCCCAGAAACAGGAAAACTCAGATCCGGATGGGCTGTATTTATGGCGATGTGTCCCTGATAACCCACTTTTAGGTCATTTTCTAAAGAGCTCCATACGCTCGAATTCCCACGTCCGATGCAGTATAAGAGATTGTTCTCTCCTTGGAAGAGGTTGCCAACAACACAGCAGCGATAATTTAAGGGTAGAGAGGTTGTTTGATTAGCACGACTGGTGCAGCCGCATGCCAAATTCTTGGTTCCTGAACCGCTCGGGGCTATTTTTTAAATCCTGGATATGACTCAGATATCCGGGAGTCATTTTATCCTACTCAAGGGGAAACCCAAATTTTAATGTAAGGCTTGATTATGTTAGTAAATTTTAAAAATTACTTTTTAAAAAAAGGAATGAAGGATGCTAGAAAGACGCGTCCTTCATTCCTTTTTTTAAAAAGTAATTTTTCTCAAGAAAAGAAAAAATGTGTAGCTGCTGAGAAGCAGTCGGTTCAGATTCCCAATGCATTTGAAATCTGAGTGCCACGTGGGTGTATTTTGTCGATGGCTGGGTTCACACCCTGGCTTGTTAACTAGGGTTTGTTCATTCAACATACCAAGCTATAAACCACTGTTTTCAAACCACAGTGGCACTGGGTTCGTTGAGCACATTAAACTCAAACAGAACAAGCCACATCGTAGCTTGATGTGACGCAAGAACCGTGCTGGTGGGTTTTCTTTCATCGCAGCAGAGAAAGGCAGTTCTGCCCACCTCGTCTTGCTACATCTCTTTTTGCAATTGAAAACAGTATCTTTGTTCTTCCCATTTAGATTCACAGGGCTGCTGTTGAAGACTCGGTTTGGCCTCCGCTCTTTGTACATTTATTTCCTGAGCTTATATACCATTTCAAACATACTCAATTCTGAGCAACCTTATTAACGGATACTGTAATTGGATTAAAAACAAAATACACAGAAATGTATAGTCAAAATAACACAAGGCAACATTAACATCCAATCCCCGAATAATGTTCTCCCTGCAGGATGGATCAAAAACAATGCTCAGGTCTCAAAAGCACGCTTGGACAGCCAGATCTTACTTGCTTTTCAAAATTTGGGAATGCAGGGGCCAAGCTGACCTCTAAGGCAGTGTTTTTCAACCTCAGCCATTTTAAGATATGTGGACTTCAACTCCCAGAATTCATGCTGGCTGGGGAATTCTGGGAGTTGAAGTCCACACATCTTAAAATGGCTGAGGTTGAGAAGCACTGCTCTAAGGGAATGCCGTATGGCCTGAGAAGAATGCCCTGCAGATGACACTCCCTTGGGACAGGAACCCGGAGGGGTCCTCTTCTCCAGACCTTAATGGAGGGTTAGAATCAACTGGGAATAGGTGGTCCCCAAGATACCCAGGTCCTGAGCCACGAAGGGCTTCAGAAGTGACAACCAGCTCCTTGAATTGCACCCAGAAGCAACATGGTAATCAATGCATTTCTCGAAGCAGTGGTGTTACGTGGGTAAAATTGCTGGAACTCCCAGCTGCCTGAACCACTGCATTCTGGACCCAGCTGAAGCTTCTGGGTGAGTTTTAAGGGCTGCCCTGGGTACAGCACCTTACAGTAATCCACCTGAAAGATGAGTATGGTAGGACAGTGAGTGGACCTTCCCGCTCCAGGAAAGCGAACTAGCGTGCAAGACGTAACCATGCACAGGTTCTCCTGACCAAACTGCCACCAGCGGTGAATCCAGGAGGACCCCCAGATTACGAGCTGATTCTGCCCAGGGGATTATGACTCCCCTTTCTGAACGAAAGATGGAGTTTCTCTGGAACTGGAAGCTCCCCTCCATGCATGAGTTAGAAGGAAAGAGAAAAATGCCAAAGTTGAAAGAATAAAACGAGGACGCTGACTCAGCCCTTTATTATCCTGTTGTGGAGAGAGATGGGACTCTGTTATTTCAGAAAGCTTGGGTCCTTTACCTGGCATGCAGGCCCAATGACTCATACCAGATAGGTGGAAAGGTGGAAAGCTTTTAATTGCAAATAAAAGGTTGCCCAGGGCACACCCCTGCTTGGAGTGAACCTTCTTTTATACAATTTTGAACAGCGTACTTAACTATAAACCAATAAAAAAACATACGTTTAGTTCATCTGAGGGTTAACCAAACAGGACGAAGTAGTATGGTTCATCTGAGGGTTAAGAGACACGCTGAAGTTTTATTTCATCAAGCATTTCTGAGTAACTTGGTTCCAGGGTCCCATCCATTCACCTTAACAAACTGGCATTCCTAGATAGAAAGGCAGATGGTCTGGGTTTCATCTATTGCTGCCGTGACCATCTAACAAGCAGGCCACCCAATGGTCAAGGCGCTACCCACGGGTGCAAAGCATCATAATTATCACTGTGCTAAATTAAGAAGCAATCCATGGATTAAAGTGGTTTATCAATCTACATGAATACAAAGGATAAAATGTGGGTCAAAATGGGCTGTCTATCCGGCTGTCTATCAACTCTACCACCCAGCCTTCCGTTAAAAATTTGCGTTTCCCCTTGTCAGGGAAAAAACCATGTTAAACACGGGAGGCAGACACACCATAAAACAAGTTACTTCAAAGTTCTAAAAATGTTAGTTTTTTAGTTCTTTCTTAAATGTTAGTTCAACAAGCAAGTAAAGTTCAACCAATAACATACAAGGTACGTACTTAGATTCACATTGCAATGCGATGACCAACTTGACCGAGCTGTCAGGTAGACAGCTCGACCAAGAGGCCTCGTTTACTTGGATGCCATCCTTTTTATCCCTTTAAACCGCAAACCACAATTATGATTCTGAGATCATTCCCAGAACAAAGTTCAGCACGTCCCGGTGCCCTGTCCCTGGCACTTCTGTTCTTTTCAACAAATTTGCAATTTCCTTCATTTTGCAAGTTCCTCTTACTTTCAGTCATTGCCATACAGGTCACATTTCAGTTATCTTGGCTTTATTAAATGCAGTCGAAACTAACATTAAAACATATGGAAGGCCACTAATAATTTTCCTCTCACACCCTTGAGTAGGATAAAATGACTCCTAGATATCTGAGTCATATCCAGGATTTAAAAAATAGCCCTGGGCGGTTCAAGAACCAAGAATCTGGCGTGCGGCTGCACCAGTCGTGCTAATCAAACAACCTCTCTACCCTTAGATTATCGCTGCTGTGTTGTTGGCAACCTCTTCCAAGAAGAGAACAATCTCTAATACCGCATCGGACGTGGGAATTCGAGCATACGGAGCTCTAGAAAATGACCTAAAAGTGGGTTATCAGGGACACATCGCCATAAATACAGCCCATCAGGATCTGAGCTGTCCTGTTTCTGGACCTTTCAACCATGAAGCTGATTCTGCTTTTTGGGATTTTCCTGGGGATCACCTGGGGCTTGGAAACGTTTGAAGGGTGAGCGAACCTGTTTGGAATTACCAGTTGTCTAGTGCAGTGTTTCTCAACCTTGGGAACTTTAAGATGTGGGGACTTCAACTCCCAGGATTCCCCAGCCAGCATG